GACTTTCTCTGAGCCTGACCTTGAGGGTCTACAGCATCCTTCAGGGGGTCTGCAGCCTCCTCGGGGGTTGAGAACTTCGAATCTCCTCCTTCTGATGGCTTCTTCAACTCGTTCAGGGCATCTCTCAGCTTTTGGTTCTCTACGGCAAGCTTGTCTAGATACCCTCTCAACTCATCCCTTTCTCTTTGATCTTTTTGCTGCTGTTCTCTCAACTGTTCCAACATTTGATCTTTTTCGAACATTTCCCTACCGATCCTATCCTCTTCAAGACTCAGAAAGGCAGGTCTCTGAACACTAGGTGTGAATGCAGAGTGAGGTTGGCCATACAACCATGGTGCTTGACTGTGGATGAAAGCCATGTGTTGCAACTGCTCATGGGTGAAAAGAGGTGGAAACGCCGAGTTTTCTGCTCTCCTATCTGTTCCCTTCCCATCCCCTGTTGGAGACGCTCTCGCCTGGCTCTTCTTGTTCTCGAATGCCTCAGGACCCAAGTTACTACCGGTCTCCTTCTTGGAAGACATGGTAGCCTTCTCACTTCCTTTGTCTTGTTGGTCCTGCGGCTTTGGAGTCCTAAGTCCAGGCGACGCAAATTCCTCAGGTGCAAACTTTGGTGGCTCTGCTGGTGGCAAGGTTGGTGGCCTTCTCATTTCTGTTCCAGGGGCAGCGCTAGACGTATTGTCAGGACTAGAGTTTCCTTTGGAATCTTCTCTAACCCCATCAGCTATTGGAGGAGCACTCACCTCACCTGAAACCTCCTTGTGGCTACCTTCCTTGCTATCCTCTAACGGCTTTTCGCCTCTCTCTTCTGCTTCTTTCTGCATACGTTTCTCTGCCAGTCTCATCTCTGCTTCTCCCTGTGCTATTTCCTCTTGAGTAGCTCTACGTCTCATCATCATGTGTTTTCGGTCAGAGCTTTGGGCTCATAACCTGCTGATATCACAGTCAGGTTTGAGCTTCTAGACCAGAACTTGTTACACTTCTCGTTTTGTGCAAGCCCAGTCTCTCCTCCCAAACCGCGTCCTCTCCGTTTCTCCAAGGCACAAATGTTTTGAGATTTCAAAAGGGGCAGCTTCATGCATGCCAAGGATGAATTTGGATATGTGAAATGTCAATGCAACTGACATGTATGTGCAAAAAGACAGGGGAAAACAGCAGTTTGAATTATCAAATCATCCCCCCATACTGTATAGGTATATAATGGTATATATCTGGAATCACACTGCCAAAGACCACCCTTGCACCTACTTGTACACGTGACACATGGCCAGGGCTGCAATGGGCTCACAACAACTATTGTTCTAAAAGAAAGTAGGTAGTAGCAACCGTGGATGTCTGAACAAAAAAACAGCTCATCCGAAATGACCGATTTCTTATTATTTTTGTATAAATAATTGGTTTTTCAAGGTCGCCTCAAGGTATCCCCCACGGTTGGTGTCGTTGAACAATGATAAAATCAGCTTCTCAAGGAAAATCAATGGAATTCAGTGGCGTTCAACAAAAACTGGATAAATCTTCTCATTGAAATCTATATTCTTTGTGTCTAGTTCTGCAACAAATTGAACCTCTTACGTGTACAAGACTTTATAAAGAAAGGCTGCAATTTTCTCCGCGGTGCTTATATTCTATGTATTTAGTTCCGAAGGGAATTGATTTTGTTGGGGCACTACCCAAAGAAAAGGAAGTCTTGCAGCACAAATGTTTGTATACAAATGTAGTTCCCTGTGTTATGTGTGTAGTAGCGCTCCTGGATGTCTGACACTCCTGATCTGGAATATTCCAAAAAAGAACAGGTTCCCCAAAGTGATCAATCTCTTCTTACTTTCTATGTAAAAAGATAGGTTTGAGAAGGTCACCTAAGAGTACCCCCCACGACTGATGTGGTAGCACAATGTATGTAGCTAGCTCCCAATGGAAACCAATGTAAGGCTGGGCATTCTCAAAGAAAGGTGCAGTTTTTTCATCCGTGTCTATATTCTGTGTATTTACTTCTGCAGGGAATTGACTTCACTGGGGCACTTCATGCTCAATGAAAAAGAGGTTCCTTAGCAAGGTAAAATATAGCTTCCAATGGATTTCGGTGCTATTCATTCAACACAATGGGTTGACGAAAGCCAAAACATGACGTGCAAAAATCGTGGGAACATATATTATGACAGCCTTTGATGCATGCGCTGATTGTAGAAAGAAGATGAAATTTAACTGATTTGGCTGTACTTGTGAGGAAAACCATCGTGGGCCGGGAGTGCAGGGTTTTTGCAGAATTGAGCCCATTTAACGGCTCAACTTTCAATTTTGTATAATTTTGTTAATTCCACTCACTGGATCCCCTAATTTTTTACGGCATTCTAAGTGCCTTGTTTTTTTCCCGAACAACTCGCAGAATTGAATTTTGGTACATTCTACGTAGTAGTACGTTGCTTACACACACATATTAATATATATATATATGTTATAGATAATGTAATGTAATGCAACGCAATGCAATGTATGTAATGCAATGCAACGCAATGTAGTGTAATGTAATGTAATGTAATGTGATGTGTGCATGTACGTGTACATGTATATGTGTATGTGTATATGTTTGCACATGTATGTGGGCCGTGGATTGAAGATTTCCGGACAAGAGACAAATCTTGAATCTTCAATCCAGTGCCCTGGATTGACGATTTCTGAACAGGACATCCGAAGGCTGTCAGACTTGAGAATTTCAAGTCTCAAATAGGAAATTCACAATTCCCAGATATTTTAAAGATGTAGTGTTCCTTGAAAGGATGTATATACTGGTCACTGGTCTGTGAGCGAATTCGAGCTATGTTGAACACACATGTTTCTAGTAAACTATGCAACATGGCTGTCAAGCACTTACTGTACTGTGAAGTAGTGAATCAACCTTATTAACCTTACTAATTTTTTGAGTGAACAGATGCAGTCTTCCTTGGAGACGTGCAGTATTCCCCAACAAAACGGGAAACCTTTCCTTTGAAGTACTGTAGCTAGTCTCCCAGTGGCGAAAAAATATATGTATAGAGGAAGGCTGAACTTCTTTTCAAAAATAATGCAACGTCTTAAAGCAATATTATGTCTCGCGAGTATCGCTTGTGAACACAAACACTTATTGTCTTGGAGGAAGTCTGCAGTCTACAACTGAACGATTCGTCTTTCTATATATTATATATATATACATACAGATTCTATACACACATAAAGGAACATTACTGTAGCTTTTTTAAGCAATGTCACATCCTTTGTAAAAGCACGCTCAGATAGGAACGCCGTCGGTTGAAGGTTTACTGCATATCGTTGTATTGTTCAAGAATATGGCCCCCCTAAAGCGGAACTGTGCCAATCAAAGAATACCGATGAATACCGAATAATTCTGAAAGAAAAGCTACACTTCAAAAGGAATAAACAGGCACATATTCTAAAGGAATGCAATGCTGCTTCTTGAAAGAGCTTCCGCACTGTCTTCAAGGAAGGCTGCAGCATATGAACGAACGATGCTCATTTCAAAAAGATTCAGTATTTGTTGAAAAGATACAATCTGTTGCAAAGCAACCAGTTTTGACTGTCAGTTTGCAGTATTCCTTTCAAGCCGTTGGGTGTATACTCACTCCAGAACGCACGGTCTTCCTTAAAAAAAAATCTTGGAAGCACTATGCAGCACTATGCAGATCTATGGAATACTTGCTGAATAGTGCAGGAGTTCATTCAAGGAGATGCAGCACGCATTTTTAACGGATACATACATATACATACGTACATACGTACATACGTACATACGTACATACGTACATACGTACATACGTACATACGTACATACGTACATACGTACATACGTACATACGTACATACGTACATACGTACATACGTACCTACGTACCTACGTACCTACGTACCTACGTACCTACGTACCTACGTACCTACGTACCTACGTACCTACGTACCTACGTACCTACGTACCTACGTACCTACGTACCTACGTACCTACGTACCTACGTACCTACGTACCTACAGACAGACAGACAGACAGACCTACCTACCTACCTACAGACAGACAGACAGACCTACCTACCTACCTACGTACAGACAGACAGACAGACAGACAGACCTACCTACCTACCTACCTATCTACGTACAGACAGACATACAGACATACAGACATACAGACATACAGACATACAGACCTACAGACCTACAGACCTACAGACCGACCTACCTACCTACAGACAGACAGACAGACCTACCTACCTACCTACGTACAGACAGACAGACAGGCAGGCAGGCAGGCAGACAGACAGACAGGCATACAGGCATACAGGCATACAGGCATACAGACATACAGACATACAGACATACATACATACGTACATACCTACCTACAGACAGACAGACATACAGACATACAGACATACAGACATACATACATACCTACCTACGTACAGACAGACATACATACAGACAGACAGACATACAGACAGACAGACAGACATACCTACCTACCTACGTACAGACAGACAGACAGACAAACAGACAGACAGACAGACATGCAGACATACAGACATAGAGACATACAGACATACAGACATACAGACATACAGACATACAGACAGACAGACAGACATTCAGACATACAGACATACAGACATACAGACATACAGACATACAGACATACAGACATACAGACATACAGACATACAGACATACAGACAGACATACATACAGACAGACATACATACATTCACTTGATATAGCTAGCGTTATGACGGTAAGTGCAGCTTTTGAATAACAGCTCAAAAGCATTTTATTAAACACATAGCTTTCATTCAAAGTATGCAGCACTGTTTGAAACATGTACCCTTGTTTTCCTTTCAGAAGGCAGTGTTCATCAAAAACAGTATGCGTAAAAGCATTGCAGTGTCCTTATTGATTAAACACTTTCAGTTTGTACATCAGGTGTACTCCTCCGATGATCCAATTTAGACCTTATACCCGCTCACCAGGAACCACTTTGATCACTGGTACGGGAGACCCAGTTCACTTGGCCTAGATAACTTGAGCGAAGTCGCGTGAGGATGCTTGTGCCAACTGCTGTATTCATTCAAATCATTTAATTCAAATTAGAACCGTGGTTTGCGGAACAAACATAGTTTTTTCATGAGTGCAGGTTCACGAAAATCAAGCAGTCATAGACTCATAGACGCTTCAAATAAGTGCGTGAATGCGGAGTTCAGGTCCTCAACAGGATATCGAGAAGCTGTACGAGGGCATTTGTCTCCAGTGGCCCAGGTGCAAAGACATGCACAAGGCAAGCCTGGGATTGTCCCTTGATGTCCCTTGTATCGGATGATGTTTCCTTTCTTTCGAGTCTTTCGATGGAGAGCACTTGCCATCATTCTGCACTGCAGCTGACATGAAAGCTAGCCGCTAGCCTTTCACTTACAATGTTCATGTGAATTGCCAGATCGTTCTGAATAGCAATGGCACTACCAGGCTTAGCGCCCGAAAAAGTAAGAAGCATCTGCACAAGGACAACCTTACATAATCATAGAAGCTTCTAATTCCAAGCCTTTGGCCATAAAAGCATGGGATAAATGAACTCAATATTCTCATTTTGAGACAAGCATCATGATAGTGTCATCCAGGATAGGATCGGAAATTGCAGTGAGGGTGTCGATAGTCACACGTCTTTGGCATCCCGGCCCAGGCGCTGCAAGCACAGCTGCAGAGCGCAAGGAGAGCGGAGTTTTGGGAAAATGTTGCATGAATGTCCGTATGATGTCCATGAACTCCATGACATCCAGACAGTGAAAGTCGGGACTGTAAAGGAGATTTAAGAGATTGCAGCAGAAGAACAGTTGTCGGGCATGCTCCGGCAACAATCAGTTCAGAACCGTGCAACCATTAGGCAATCCGTTCTGCATTACCAGGCATATTCATGCAGGAATCACAAAGGCTCTCGAACCCCCTCGCAAACTGAACTTCGAACAAGTGCAACCCATGGAAACAATTCGATGATGTGCCACTGTTGTGACGCCATCCAAAATTTGCATTTGCACACCTCCTTGAGCCAACATGCAAGCGTTTCAGAAGCTGCAACCAATTTCTGGCGAGACAGAGAGCCTACAATGTCCATCCGTCTTCATTGCTTTTGTGTCTCATTCCTTTTTTGCACGTTTCCAGGAGCAAAGGAGCGCAGCGCAATGTTATTGTTGGGCGCATGAGAGCGATGTTGCAGGCACTGTGCGCTAAAATTTTGGGAGGGCTAGTTTTTCTTTTTTTTTGTTTTCCAGCCTGGCTTTATGGCTTTTGTGGCTTCTGTGGCTTCTGTGGCTTTTGTGGGTGTGTGGCTTTTGTGGCCTTACCATGCTTTGCCTATCTATTTATCTATCTAATCTAACCTAATCCAATCTAATCTAATTCCCAACAGCAGGGTCTGTTGGGTTTCAATCTCTAGGGCTGGGGCTGGCTCGCGGGGACTTGCAGCCTTCAAAATCCGGAATGGAACCCTGGAACCCTGGAACCCTGGAACCCTGGAACCCTGGAACCCTGGAACCCTGGAACCCTGGAACCCTGAAACCTTGGAACCCCGGAACCCTGGAACCTGGAACCCTGGAACCCTGAAACCTTGGAACCCCGGAACCCTGGAACCCCGGAACCCTGGAACCCTGAAACCCTGGAACCTTGGAACCCTGCGACCGTGGAACCCTGAAACCTTGGAACCTTGGCACCCTGGAACCCTCAAGGATTCTGGAACCCTGCAACCTTGGAACCCTGGAACCTTGGAACCCTGCAACCCTGCACACCTGGCACCCTGCTGGGATCCTGGAACCCTGAAACCCTGGAACCCTTGGAACCCTTGGAACCCTGGAAACCTTGGAACCCTGAAACCGTGGGACCCTGGTACCCTGGGACCCTGGAACCCTGGAACCCTGAAACCTTGGAACCCCGGAACCCTGGAACCCTGGAACCCCGGAACCCTGGAACCCTGAAACCCTGGAACCTTGGAACCCTGCGACCGTGGAACCCTGAAACCTTGGAACCTTGGCACCCTGGAACCCTCAAGGATTCTGGAACCCTGCAACCTTGGAACCCTGGAACCTTGGAACCCTGCAACCCTGCACACCTGGCACCCTGCTGGGATCCTGGAACCCTGAAACCCTGGAACCCTTGGAACCCTTGGAACCCTGGAAACCTTGGAACCCTGAAACCGTGGGACCCTGGTACCCTGGAACCTTGGAACCCTTGAAACCCTAAAACTTCCAAACCCTAAACTCTATGCGCGCTGCGCGCGCTGCATGCAATAAAGTAAACCCTAAAACTTCCAAACCCTAAACCCTAATGCGCGGTGCGCGCGCTGTGTCCCAGAGAAGTAAACCCTAAAATTTCCAAACCCTAAACCATCGTGTTATGCAACTTCCAAACCCTAAAGTTTAACCCGCGGTGTGCGCGCTGCATGCAATAAAATAAACCCTAAAACTTCCAAACCCTAAACCCTAATGCGTGCTGTGCGCGCTGCGTGCCAGAGATAAACCCTAAAACCTTCAAACCCTAAACACTAATGCGCGCTGCGCGCGCTTTGTGCAATAGAAATAAACCCTAAAATCTTCAAACCTGAAACTCTCGTGTCATAGAGGTAAACCCTAAAATTTCCAAACCCTAAACCCTAAACCCTAACGCGCGCTGCGCGCGCTGTGTGCCATAGAAGTACCCCTTAAAATCTCCAAACCCTAAACCATCGTGTCATGGAGGTTAACCCTAAAACTTCGAAACCCTAAAGTTCAACCCACGCTGTGCACGCTGCATGCAATAAAATAAACTATAAAACTTCCAAACCCTAAACCCTAATGCGCGCTGCGCGCACTGCGTGCCACACACATAAACCCTAAAACTTTCAAACTTTAAACCGTAACGCGTACTGCGCGCACAGCCTGCCATAGAGGTAAACGGTTAAACTTTCAAACGCTGCGTGCCATAGAGGCAAAGCCTAAAACTTTCAAACGCTAAACCGTAAAGCAGGCTGCGCGCGCTGCGTGCCATAGAGTGCTCCTCAAAAGTGATTACATGTCATACTTTAGTGGCATCCTCCAAATTCATTAGTCAGCCTTTGTTAATCCAGGGCCCATTTTACACATGTCATCTTCTTGGTCGTGGCGCCATTTCAGGATCACACTGATGACCTAAGCTTTGGCCTTAACTATTATGCAGGCAAGCGACATCAGCACGCTATGGTATTGGAAGACACAGGGTTTGCCCGTAGACCAGCCAAAAAATCGATTTTCCATACTGAACAATTGGATTTAACACATTTAGAATAGGAACTCTGCCTGATTCAGATTTCATCACTTAAAAGGTACCCATGCCTGACTAGCCTTCATGACTTAAAGCGTAACCACACCCGACTTAAGGGAACCATGCCTGACTAGCCTTCATAATTAAGAGGTACCCACCCACGCCTGACTTAACGGAACCCATGCCTGACTAGCCTTCATAATTAAAAGGTACCCATGCCCCTGAATTCAGGGAACCATGCCTGACTAGCCTTCACAATTAAAAGGTACCCACTGGAACCATGCCTGACTAGCCTTAATGACTTAAAAGGTAACTACACCTGACTTAATACCTGATTTACTGGTTTTGCCTGATTTTGGAAAAACGCAGGGCCGGAATTTGCCGGGCTGGGATTTTGGGGTCGTGCCTAAATAGGATTTTTGCAAAAATCGTGCGTGACTGAAGGGAACCATGCCTGACTAAACATCATACCAATCATCCCAAAAGAATCCAATAATTCCAGCAAGTGATGCCTGACCAATCCCTGCGTCATAATAAACCGTCTGCCCCTCCCCACCCAATAATGAACACACGGAATAGTTTTTTGTATTTAGTGGGTATTTAGTATGAGGGTGCGAAACTTCCCCCTTGGTTAAAAAAAACTAAATTGGAAAACATTTTTTAAATAACATCTAACTAAAATATTGCCAAAATTGGATTCCGAAGCTTCCCCCTGACATTAAATTGAAAACATTCGTTTTAAAAAATTACTTTTACTCGTGTGATCCCCACCATGACATTTATACATGTTCTTACTGGCACATCTTCTGGCATTCTATCTGACATATCTTCTGACATTCTATTTGGCATTCTATCTGGCATATCTTCTGGCATATCTTCTGGCATTCTATCTGACATATCTTCTGACATTCTATTTGGCATTCTATCTGGCATATCTTCTGGCATATCTTCTGGCATTCTATCTGGCAAATCTTCTGGCATTCTATCTGGCATATCTTCTGGCATTCTATCTGACATATCTTCTGGCATTCTATCTTCTATCTGCATATCTTCTGGCATATATTCTGACATATCTTCTGGCATTCTATCTGGCATTCTATCTGGCATCTTCTGGAATATCTTCTGGCATATCTATCTGGCATATCTTCTGGCATATTTTCTGGCATTCTACCTGGCAAATCTTCTGGCACTCTATCTGACATTTTATCTTCCTACATGAGGTCCGGCAGGGAACACTTGGCGTGGATACTCGCGAGGTCCGGCAGGGAACACTGGGCGTGGATGGCCGTGGTTGAGGTCCGGCAGGGACCACTGGGCGTGGATGGCCGTGGTTGAGGTCCGGCAGGGAACACTGGGCGTGGATGGTCGTGGTTGAGGTCCGGCAGCGAACACTGTGGATCGCGAGTCGCAGTTGAGCAGGAGGACGACGAGGACGACGAGGACGACAAGGATGACAAGGAGAACGAGGAGGAGGAGGAGAGGAGGACGAGGCAGGAGGAGGCGGAGGAGGAGGAGGAGGAGCAGGAGGAGGAGGAGGCAACTGACATAAAATCTAACAACCCTCACCTGGCAGGTGGGGAATGAATTTTATATTTCAAAACCGATTGAATTCCTATTCAAAATCTAACTCAAATCTTGCCAAATTGGATTTCGAAGCTTCCCCTTATATTAAATTGAAAACCTTACTAATCCCCACCTCCTTTTACTAAACGTACCCTAAATACTAAAATATTACATTGATTCCTTTTACTAGGGTCCGCGTTAAATTTTGGTAAATTTCAGGCTGGCCAGTTTGACTTTTAATTGATACCTTTTCAAAAACAAATTAAACATGAAGGTCCCATTTCAGGATTTCACCACCAAAAAATAAAAACTAGTCAGCCCCGGTGATTTTTAAAACTAGGGTCTTTTAAGGTCGAAAAAATAAGTATTTTATATTACAACGTTTATATAATATTGGGGGAAAACTTCGAAATCCACTTTTTGGCATTTCCTGGCAATAATTTTGGTGGATGTCAAAAGGAAATCTAATCGATTCTTGAAATCGAAAAAACATAGTTTTTTTTTATTAGTGTTTTTAATTTAATCTTAGGGATGCCCATGCCGAAAAATTGAATACACAGGGGGGTACCACAGGGTAGTGGTTATTCAATTTCCTGCTCCAGAGCTGGCCCTTTCCTAGCAGACCCAGGTAATATTTATGCCCTATTTATACCTAACAGTATAATAGTAGTAGTAGTAGTAGTAGTAGTAGTATAGAGTAGGAATAGGATTAACAGTGGTAGTAGTAATATTTTTAGTATATTATATATATGTATAATATGGGAAGTAGTAATAGTAGTAGATCAGTAGTAGTAATGTAGAAGTAGAAGTAATAGTAATAGCAGTAGTAGTAGTGGTAGTCGCGTGGCTTCCGTGTGAAACCTTTTTCTAAAGTAGTAGAAAGAGTAGGAGACAAAATAATACTAGGAAAAGGGCTAGGCCTGGACATGCCAGACCCAGCCAAAACACTCCAAAGAATTTTTTTTTGAATAACAGGGGGGGGGGTCTTGAAAAACCGTTTCGGCATGGGTATATCTTAGGGGAAAACTTCGAAATCCAATTTTTAGCAATATCTTAATTATATGTTAAACAGAAAACTAATCGATTTTGAATCAGTTTTTTTTTAAATATATTAGGGCTGGTAATTTAATATTAGAGGAAACATTTCGAAATCCGGTTTTTGTTTTTATTTTTGTTACTACAATTTAAAAGGAAATCGAATCGATTTCAAAAAAGAAAAAAATATTTTATATTAGGGTTTTTTAATGTAATATTAGGGGAAAACTTCAAAATCCAATTTTTGACCATATTCTAATTAGATTTCAAAAGGAAATCTAATGAATTTTGATATAGAAAAAATAGTCTTTGATATGAGGGTTTAATATGAGGGGAAAGCTTCGAAATCCAATTTCTGGCAATATCTTAATTTGAATTTACAAGGAAATCTAATCGATTCTGAAATAGAACAAATTTAGTTTTTTATATTGGAATTTTTCATGCAAGATTAGGGGAAGCATCGAAATCCAATTTTTGAACATATTTTAATAATTGGATTTTAATTTGATATTAGGGGAAAGCTTCAAAATCAATTTTTTGTTTTTTTCATTAGATTTCAAAAGGAAATCTAATCGATTTTGAAACAGGAAAAAAAACAAAATGATATTAGGGCTTAATATAAGGGAAAAGCTTCGACATCCAATTTTTTGGCCATATTTTATTTAATTTTAAAAAGGAAATCTAATCGATTTCGAAATAGAAAAACATACATAGTTTTTTATGTTGGGGGTTTTTATTTGATATTAAGCTTCGGAATCCACTTGTTTGCCATATTTTAATTGGATTTAAAAAGAAAGAAATCTGATCGATTTTGAAATAGAAATATGTGTATATATATATATGTATATATGTGTGTGTGTGTTTTTTTTATCAGTATTAGGGGGAAGCTTCGTACCCTAGTACTAAAGACCCCCCCAATACTAAAAACTCCTCCAGGTGTTTGTTATTTGGGTGGGTGGGTGAAGGGGCGACTGTTTAGCAACAGGGGGAAGGGATTAAACCGTTTTTGTTTCTAATTTCAAAATCCATGAAAATGATCTTTAAATAGAATACTGCCAAGAATAGGATTTCGAAGCTTTTGCCTAGTATCAAATAAAACACCAACACCTGAATTAAAAAAACTAAAATTGACGATTTTAAAGGACGGACCCCAATAAAAGACACCCCGGTGTTGACTAGTTTTTTATTCTTTGGGGGTGAAACCCTCACATAGTACCTTCATTTTTAAAATTGTTTCCTCAAGGGGATCAATTAAAAATCAGATTAACCAATTTGACATTTCCCAAAATTGGAAATCGCACCTAGTTTTTGTCATTTGGGGGTATTTTTCGTAATAGGGAGAAAGGATTAGCAAAAATGAATGCCTGATCAAAATGATGCTGATTCTGTGTGTTACAATCTTTTTGCCCACTACAGTGTCTACAGGGTTACAAGGGATGCCGTGCCAGCTAGAGTCCCAAGTCCATTCAACCAACACCCTAATCGATGAAGTTGGACTTGTTGAAATGGAAGTGGGACTGGACCAGTTGACATGGGGCGATGCTGACCTTCAACGGGAGCTTCGGCGCCTGAAGGACAACAGTTTGAAAATTCCGAACCTGAAATATATTTTCAAAATTGCCTTACTAAGAGTGATCCCCACCCTGACACACTATTCTGACATAGTTTCTGACATATCATCTGGACGTATATGTGGCATATATGTTCTGACATACTATCTTACATTCTTTTCTGAGATTCTATTTGACATTCTTTCTGGCATCCTATCTGGCATCTATTCTGACATACTTTCTGGAATATACTATATTCTGATCCTGCCTTGCCATGAGTTTGGGCTGGGAGTGCTTTTATTTGCGTGGATCAATGCCAATGGCTTGAATATCCACCAAATGTTGGTTTCACATGTTTGCACCCAATGATTGCCATTACCATTGATACCCCAAAATGGCCAGGTCCTGAATTTGAGAGTAGGTCCTGAAAAGTTTTCTGGGTACTGAAAAAACAGGACTTTGGCACAGGGTCTGAAAAAAGACGTAGGTGGAAGATTCAGGTATGCTGTTGGGTTGCAAAGCTGGGTTAACCTAATCTTATCTCATTTTATCTTGTTTTATTTTGTTTTATCTCGTTTTATCTTGGTTTATCTTATCTATCTTATCTATCTAATCTATCTTTCTAATCTCTCTAATCTATCAAAACTATCAATTCTAACTAGTCTATCTAATCTATGTAAATCTATCTAATTCATCTAATTTAATCTATTTACTTAATCTATCTATTTAATCTATCTATTTAATCTATCTATTTCACCTGTGGATTTAATCTGTCTCTTTAATCTATCTATTTAATATGTCTATTGAATCTGTCTTTTTAATCTGTCTATTTAATCTCTCTATATTAAATCTATTTATTTAATCTCTCTATATTTATTATATTTAATTTATCTATTTAATCTATCTATTTAACCTATCTATTTACTCTATCTATTTAATCGATATATTTAATCTATCTATTGAATCTATCTATTTAATCTATCTATTTAATCTATCTATTTAATCTATCTATTTGATCTATCTATTGAATTTGCCTATTGAATTTGCCTATTTAATCTGTCTATTTGATCTATCTATTTAATTTGTCTATTTAATCAGTCTATTTGATCTATCTATTTAATCTATCTATCTAATCTAATCTAATCGAATCGAATCGAATCTATCTAATCTATCTATCTGTCTGTCTGTCTGTCTGTCTGTCTATCTATCTATCTATCCATCCAATCAACCTAATCAATCTAATCAATCTTTCTATCTATATGTCTATCTATCTATCTATCTGTCTGTCTGTCTATCTATCTATCTATCTATTTATCTATTTAATATACTAAGCCAACCATAAACCAACCCAACATAACCCTCCCTAAATACACCGTAAACCAACTTTCAATAAAGCTAAACGAACCCTAAAGAACCCTAAATAAACCCTAAACCAACCGTAAAATAAATCCTGACCCAACCCTAAACCAACCCTAAATAAACCCTAAACCAACTCTAAATAAACACTAAACCAACCCTAAACCAACCCTAGATAAACCCTAAACCAATCCTAAATAAACCCTAAACAAACCCCAAATAAACCCAAAACCAAACCTAAACCAAACCTAAATGACCCTAAACCAACCCTAAATAAATCTAAGCCAACCCTCAATAACCCTAAATAAACCCTAAACCAACCGTAAATAAACCCTAAACCAACCCTCAAATAACCCGAAATAAACCCTAAACCAACCCCAAATAAATCTAAACCAACCCTAAATAGCCCTAAATAAACCTTAAACCAGCCCTAAATAAACCCTAAACCAACCGTAAATAAACCCTAAACCAACCCTCAAATAACCCTAAATAAACCCTAAACCAACCCTAAATAAACCCTAAACCAACCCTAAATAAACCCTAAACCAACCCTAAACCAACCCTAAATAAACCCTAAACCAACCCTCAAATAACCCTAAATAAACCCTAAACCACCCATCACTATGATAGCATCCAATGCCATTATTTAGACCCAACACGGTTGTGTTTCAACCTATATTCTACATGTTCACTAGGTGCATGTTATGCATGGAAAAATAGATCGAAACCATGGAAAAATCAATTGAAACCATGGAAAACTCAATGAAAATTATGGAAAAATCGATGAACACTTTGGGTAAATCAATGAACACCATGGAAAACCGGCTAAAACCATGGAAAAATCGATGAACAGTGCAAATGGCACATTTTAGCTCCAAAATTCAGCAAAGTACAGGTTTTTGCTCCAAAATGTAGCAAATAGCAGGGAAAAATGTACCAGATTGAAAAAAAACACCAAAAAAATCAGCACCCAACAGTTGGTGTGGGTTTGTGGGTTTCGGTTGACAATGAATCGTTTAACAACACTGGAGTAAAGCGGCGGGGGATCTTGGATGCCTGTTTGCATTGCACAAGGAAACAATGAAAGACAAAATTGCGTAAAATTGCTGAGTTTCCTTCCGGGCTAACATGTTTTACCTGCTTGTGCCAGGCTGGATCGGCTGATATCATCCATGTCTATCATGACGATGAACCAGAGTACTACGACGATTACGATCTAGGCGGAGGTCCAGACAACAGTGATGAAGAGTATGAGATTGCTCCCGAGTATGATGAGGCTCTTGAGGCTGCTCCAGAGTATGACGAAAATTTCGAGGCTGCTCCCGACTACTATGAAGACCTTGAGGCTGCTCCCTATGACGGCTCTGGTCCATATGATGTAGGAGGTCCCGGCCCACCAGACTACCAGAAAGGAATTGTGGTTAGTGGCGCCTACGATGGGCCTGGTCCAGCATACTTACCAGGTCCTCAAGGACCTGGTGGCCCTGAACCCATGTACCCCAAGCCTGACGAGTATTCGGGACCTGGACCACAGGCTCCTGAACCGGAAGAATATGCACCGGAAGGACCTGAAACAGAGGGCCCTGGTCCAGGATACGAAGCGCCTGAAAACGAAGAGCCAGAGCCGGCAGATGATGTGGGACCTGGTCCTTCCTATGGTGGTGATTTGAGAGTAGGCTACGATAAAACTCTGGACATTGGCCCAGACGAGGTTGAAGTAGAGGAGGTTGAAGGCGAGGCTGAGCCGATGGAGCCCACGGAGCCCATGGAGCCTGAAAGCGAAGCTCCTGAAGGCACGAAGCCGGATATGTCAGACGCAGTGGTTGTCAACGCATGTCCGATGATGTCAGATGTGAACGCTTGGTTGACAAGCAAGTGGCATCCAGTCAGATTCCATTAGCTTCCAACGGAAGCAAGTGCCATCGATGTGCAGTCACTCTTTTTGAAGCATGGAGGAAGTCAGCCCGTTTCACATCAGCATAATCCACCATATGCTTTAGATTCTTTCAATCTAGCATGAAACCCTGCAGTGGGGCTTACGATACACCAGACACAGCTAGTCAGACACCCGGATTCCGCTTCGATTCAATGTCCCAATAATTGCCATTTTGCCTGCCAGAAGCTGGTGCTACGGTGGAGATTCCTGACGCTGGTGGAGTGCCAGACAGTCAAATCCCCACTGATTCTGAGGAGCCAGAGTCATCCGCGGCTCAGCCAGGTTTGCCAGAAGAATCTTGGATAGATTGAGCATCAGCTGGCATTTTTGTCGAACATCCTAAGCTGCATCTTGCTGCAAGATAGGAATTTTCAGACACTTAAACTAATAAACCATAATAAACTATCACTACTTGTAGGACGAGCTTAGTGAGATTAACTTGAATGAAAAATGGGAGAAACATGAGAGAAAAATGAGAGAATAATGAGAGTGTGTTTGTATGTTTTCGGAAGTTCCCGAATGGATTGCCCTTGGTCTCTCTTCGTTGAACTTTTGCTGCAGTGCTCTCAGGAAATTTCCCTGGCTTCAACCTTTGTGCTGCTGATGAAGAAGCTCTTTAGCATTGGATTTTACCAAGTAATTAGTTGTGGCAGGAAGTTTTGCTGTTAAAGCAATGTAAAGTGCAAGAGTTTTTGAGCACTGCTAAATTCAACAGATACTTTACATACGTAGCTTTCAGGGCGGGAGATTCTTCCTAATGTGTTTTAGTCTTGCAGCGTTGCTTCTTCATGAGACAATCACATATCATGGAATGGTGTTGTTAACACGGGCTCCGAACTTGCCCCTGCCCAATGTGCATTGTGCTCAGGCATTGCTACACTTGGCTAGGCGCATATTTTCCCGCGGGAAATGTTGGTAACATGTGTCACAGTGGGAGGGTGGAGTAGAAAGAGACTTACAAAAATCATGTAGATTCAAATTGCTTTTGCTCAGTAATGATACCGAAAACATAGTCACAAGTTGCGTATTTCTATGTATAAAATATAATATGATAATGATAATGATATACACACACATATATATATATGGTTGTGTTTTTTTTAACGCGTGCAATTTTTAGTAAAGACAGGAAGTTCGATTTGTGCGCATCATACCCCCGACTCATACCCCGACTCATACCCCCGAATCATACCCCCGAATCATACCCCAAAAAATCACGATTATGAATGTTTCTTTGGGGATCGTTTGGGATTGCGTTGGCCTCACTAGTTTTAATGGACCTGACAAGCTAATTGACCAGTGTTGTCCAGACCCGATGATCCCTGGTTACCTTCACGTACCTTCACGGAGTGGCGAATCTTCTCCACGCGCGCAGAGTCTCATCATTATCCCTAAGCTGGCTGGCTCTGGGTGGCTGGCTGGCTGGCTGGCTAGGTGGCTGGCTCAGTTGCTGCTGCTGGTTGGGTGGCTGGCTATAGGGCTGGCTAGTTGCAGCTGGCTGGCTGCGTGGCTGGCTGCTTGCTGTGTTGCTGATGAGGCTGATGAGGGGGATGAAACCAAAAATCCGAACATAAGCCTAAGCGTAGCTGAGCTAAAGGTACATGAGAAGAACATCCAGCCGGCAGGCCTGCCGATATAAATCATAGATGTGCATTTAGATCTTCATATTTTTTATATTCAGGTCTTGTCCAAGGTCGTCTGGCAGGTCGAGCCATTGCAGCCATTTAGTAGCAATCGTAGTAGGTTGACGGTGGGAAAGAGAGACTCAAGCAACAAAGCTTCCTGAATTCAAAGAGAATGGGTTTCCGAATCATACCCCGAATCATACCCGAATCATACCTCAAACTTCCCAATTCTGAACCTTGGTACATTTGCAAGATCAGAACTTGTGTTTTGTGAGCTCTTTTCTTTGCAACCATTCGCCACGGGCTACACTACGCCTCCTGCTGCTTCTGAGCAAAATCCGACAACAGCACCCCTGTAGCGGCATCCTGCAATGGCACCAACATGCCAACTCCAAAGCGCACACACCACTTTAACTGCAGCACCTTGAAGCAGCACCCTGCAGCGGCACCACCAGCCAGCTCCAGAGCGGACACGCCACTCTAACAGCTGCACCCTGCAGCGTGCAGCAGCACCCTTCACTAGCACCCTTGCAGCACGAGTTGGGTACAGTACGTACCCTCCTTGCAGCACCCTGATCATCACCCCTTGCAGCAGCACCAGCAGGCTAGCTCGACAGCACCCTCAAGCAGCACCTTCCACCCGCATCCGCTCACCAGCATGCCCGCTCCAAAGCATGGTTTAAAGCACGCACCAATCTGACAGCAGCACCTTCAAACATCACCCTCAGGCAGCACCTGCAGCAGCACCCTGAGCGCCACCAGCATCGCTCCAAACTGTACACACCACTCTGACAGCAAGCAACACCCTGCTCCATCACCTTGCAGCGGCACTCCAACGGCACCACGATACCCGCTCCAAAGCGCACACACCACTCTGACAGCAGCACGCACAGCGTCAACAGCATGCCAGCTCAAAGCGCTCCACGTATGGTATAATTACCAGCAGTTGAAACATTTTCGGGGTAAGTGTGGGTAAATAACCATACGCGGAGGATGCAGGGGGAAACACTAAATCAAGGTCCGCGAATCATACCCACGAATCATACCCACGAATCATACCCCGAATCATACCCACGAATCATACCCCCTAGTCAAACTTCCCGGGTTGGACACGGTATTTTGAGACATACCCATATATATAATTATATATATATAATATCAATATATATATATAAAAGTAGATCGTTTGGATTGGATGGATAGATAGATGGATAGATGGATGCATGACATACCTACGCGATGCTGGCGAGCTCTTGGAAACAGGTTGATAGACACATAGGATAAGTACCATACAGGAAGGACACTGGAATGCCCTACTACTGGCAATGGAGACCGCATGTTTCCAAGAAGTATTAGAAGGGAGAAGCGGGATTGGGGACTAGGATGCCTGTGATGTTTGTCTATGCATACACAGATTTTATGTACGTGTGTGTGTATATATATATGTGTGTGTGTGATGCATATATGATATACTGTATGCATATGCATGCAGTCCTAGTACAGCGTAACAAATACTGTTACACATGCATGCATGCATGCATGCATACCTTATACCCTATACCCTATACCTTATACCCTATACCCTATACCCTATACCATATACTGTACCATATACCCTATACCATATACCAACCATACATACCGTACCGTACCATTCCGTACCGTACCGTGCCACCTCACATACACGTGAAGGTATAGACATGTTTGCCTTCAATTGATCTCACTGCAAGATGCTGACGTGCCCACTGACGAAACACACTTGTATTCATTCTGTGAAAGTACGGCTGTTGCCAGCTGTTGCCAGCTGTTGCCAGCTGTTGCCAGCTGTTGCCACAAATTGCCCATTGTTGAAGTTTTGGAACCAGAATTACAGAACATGTCCAGATGGTTTCAGCATGGCCCTGCCTTGGCGGCAGCCCTGCATGGCCCTGCTCATGTTCGCAAAGCGGAAACGGTTGAAACGGTTGCAGGCAACTCCACGGACCTCAACACCGAGATGCCAGACTTGAGCTTTAAAGTCGCTGGCATGGCTGGAGGGAAAGAAACGCTCCTTTGCCGCACTGGCAGGACATGGCACTAGCTGTGACATGGGATAAATATGGATAAGGATGGATAAGTACTGTGTGTACTTCACGTGCTTCCGAAGTAACTGCAAAGCAACTGCACCCTCCTGAACCGAACCCGGTGGTATTGGGGAAGCTGGACACTAAAATCCGTTTTGCGTGAACTCAAACCATGTTGCCCACAAGTTGATCCATTTTGAACCTAAAAATCATTTGAATGCTTGTGCATACTATCAGCATGACAGTGACACGCCTGTTGCTACAGATACTTGACATTAACTTGACATTCAAAAAGTGAGTCAATCCCAGACCTGAGTCGATTTGCTTTGCCGAGACTCAAGCTGGACCCCAACTCGTACACCTTCCTTACAACCGTTCCAATTATCCACAAGGCCATGGGTTTGGAAAACTGTGTAGGCCAGCGATTTCAGGTCCTGACCCCATCTCCAGCCGTTTTGTCGGTTATCGGGCCCACATCAGGGTCTAGAAAGAGCAAGGGTTTCCTGCCGTGCATTTGTATCATTTTTGGTTTCCTTCACTTTGTTGTCTTTGTTTGATTGATTTGTCTGTGATTGGAAGCCAGGAGGTGGAGTACTTCCTGGGATACTTGCCAGTGGAGGTTATCACTGTGAGGAATGAGCAGGCACAGAATTGGAGTTTGGACACCTTGTCTTCTTCATACCATTTACATCCATTTATTAATCACTTAAAGGCCCCATGGATGTGGCACATCGATTTGTACTCAAGCTTTCCAGATTTGCAGTTGGGGCCAGCCAACTCTTGGTCTCTTTTGCACATGTGCAAAACTGTTCCTGACAGCAATTTTGCAAAAGCTGCGTTGACGTCTATGGCGGCCCTGAGCCGTGCGTTTCTGGATGTGGTGAAATGTGGTGAAATAAAGGTGATGAAATCTGGATGTGCTGAAGGAGTTGGAACATGTTAGAAGCGCTCACTTGTTCCGCGTGGATGAACACAGGGGGTTCGAAACTTGCTCTCGTTGGACTCGCTATGTATCTTGCATATCTTGCGCACTTCACAACCCGCAAAACTAGTGTGCTTGCGCTGTGCACCGCTGCAGCATGATTTAGCATCGGAACGTGCAGAGTGGGACATCACCTAGTGCATTGGTGCATCAAAATGTAGACTTCGTGGCGTATGCACACATGGGGGTTGTCCGACAAATTGTGTCACAACATGGAAGTCCTCTTTCGGAGGTGTGCAGTACTGACCCTGAGAGTAGTGTAGCTGAAACTTTTATTGGATTCTAGCGTCGCAGTTTCACTGGATCCCTGATCACAAAACGATACAAAACGTACAATTTCAACTGAAGCGGCAGCACAGCGCTTGAGTCTGACAGTAGCCCAGACATGAAGGAAAGGGCAAAAATTGAGGAAGGCTTGTGTGCAGAAGCATGCTCAGAGGGCCCACGCCGGAGCTACGTATGGTTAAAGAGGATTGCAGTCCTTCAACATTCAATAGGAGCAAGATGTCAAAACTTCATTCGTAATTTACCAACTACATAGATGTTTTGCAAACAGTTCTATGCTGAGGAAGACAGACATCCCTAAGATCTTCATTTGGGGACCTGGTTCGACATGATTTGAACAGGTGATTGCTTTTGGGGACTTTTTATATATTATATTCAAACGATGGTGCTGCGGAACTAACTCGGGACCGATGGCGTGTTTCCATGAAGGTGTGTTTGCCTGCTTTCAGCAGCATGAACTATACCACCCCGAAGAATGGTGCCTTGGCATATGGTGGGATTCAGCAAAGGAACGTTGCTTGCCAGCTCTAGAATTTAAGCTGCATGTTTATATAATTGAATTGACTTTGTTGCCTGTGCGTCTAGTTGCTGTGCCATTCAAAGATTGACCAAATGGGGAAACAGATGTATCAGGAAACCATACTGGAAGCAGTATCATATCAACAGCTCGGAGGGGCCATGCGGTATCACAGCAAGAAAACAGAATACCATAGCGCAGGAAGCAGATCAATTGCTATGTGGGACAAATACCGCACAGTCATAAGCTCTTGATATTGAGTCGTGTATTACTGTGTGCAAGAGCATGAATGAAATCGTATGAGTGGCATCAGTTCTATTTTGTGTTGAGGTCCAGTGTGGATCATGGGAACTCCCCTTTTCTACTCCTACAAAGTTCAGTATGATCGAGAACCAGAGCACGGAGCTTAGATTGCTGAGCAGGGACAGAATCGAATTCGTGTAGCTGCTGCAGACTCTGATAGGCTTCGTTCAGTGAGTACAGCGCAACGTACGTGCACAAAATGCCGTCCAAATCCGTCCAATTTCTTTATTTCATGTTACATCATGTTACATCATGTTTGCCTGATTCTGATTCCAAAACCTCCCGCCTGTGACATCTCAGGCCCCCAACCATGAGCTTTGGGAAAGGCTGTGGCACATGTCACGATGGCAAAGAGACGTGACCAGGCTAGCATTGTGGCGTATAGATGCATATGGCATATGGTGGCATATTACAGTGGAATGCTAAAGTCGTGCCTAAAATTTGGAAATCATCGTAAATAGCTGGGGAGCACTTGATTTGAAAAGTCGCGCCTTTTTAGTAAAACGCATAGGAATTGCAATGTTTTGTTGAATTTGGTCTTTGGAATAGTTTTTGTTAATAAAACTTGCGTTTAGGTTGTGTTTAGCATCAAGGGTACCTTTTCCATATTGTTAATAAATCTTGCGTTTAGGTTGTGTTTAGCATCAAGAGTACCTTTTCCATATTGTTAACAAATCTTGCGTTTAGGTTGTGTTTAGCATCAAGAGTAACCTTTTCCATACCAAGTCAAACTGGATGTGAGTGCAGCGATGAGTTGGTGTTTCTATCTTTTTCTTTCCAGTGTGCTGCGGCAGCCATTTTCACTTTTCACTGCATGCTCAACGTGGCATTGTGGCACTTCAGCGTGTTGCTTGAGATGGAGGTGAGAAGGGTCATTGTTGTGTCTTCGTGTCGGCTTTAGTTTCTTATGTGGTTCCGCAGGCGGGTGGGCAGAGAGCCTTTCTTGTTATTTTTTGACGTCGTTTGCTACGTCGTTCGGACCTCGTTCGGCACGTCGTGGTTTCAAAAATAGGAAACCTATAGGAGAGGTTGGTTGGTGTGAATCACAGATGGCAGAGCGAAGCCACTGATGGACCGAGAGAAGCAAAGCGAAAAGAGTCAGCAAAGCGAAAAAAGTCAGCGGACCGAAGCGGCAAGTATTTCTCAACCCCAGAAACATGAACGGTAGAATGCAACTGTAGACGGATTTTTGCGAACATTTGATTTTCCCAAGTGTGGAAACATTCTTCTTATACATACGCTATTCCATGGTGTTTTAAGATTTGGGCATGACTTAGGCATGAGTTTCTTGAAACAGCGATTCCATGGTGATTTACTAGCAAGTTTTGACCCAGGCATGAGCTAGGCATGAGTTTGTCGTTTGACTGTATTATGGCCATGTTTTGAGGGGGTTGTTTCGCTGGATTTTCGAGGTCCTGTAAAATGATGGCAGCTTTCGCCCAAGAAGTAGCCACCGCTCCATCTGCCTGACACATTTGAGATATGTTGAAGAGTCCAGGGCAGGTGAGGATCCGATCCTGAAACCTTTTTCCCCATCCAAATTCTAGCAGATTCTAGCCCCATTGTCTTATAGATGTTCTTCAGATTTCTTCATGTTCTTCTTTCGAACTCCTTTGGGTTTGTGCACGTACAACTGCAGTACACCACTGCCACACTGGTGGGTTTAGCTTAGGCCGCCATCCACAAGGCAACTTGTTGGCATTGAGTAGGCCTGAAATGGAAATATTGTCTGAATATGTCTGAAATAGGGTGGCATGTTCATGCATTTTCCATGTTTATTTCTCTGTGTTCAGCAACACAGAAAGGAGAACTCCTACAGGCTGAAAAGACTCTTTTGGGACATGATGCAAGTTCTAGAGAATGATTGTTCGGAGAAGAGTTTGAACGGGTGAGACGTTCGCACTGGAGGTTTGTTTTTATGCACTGGAGCCTTGTTTAGTAGCCAAAATTGATCAGATTTGTTTACCTTTTCGTTTGATGGCCATCGTCATTCATTTGACCATCTCAGCGGGTGTAGCAGTATTGAATGAGAGTGTGCATGGATCACAGGTTTTGACAATTTGACCAGCGGGCTTTCAACGTGGCAATGTTCAACAAGGATGCTCTGTAGAATATGTACAAGATTGTACAAGCCATTTGATGAGATTTTGCCATGACAAGTGGTTGAGCGTTGGTTGAGGGCCTTGAGGGTAGTGAAGCGTAAATTGATCCGGCCATGACGGTAGCACTTAAGCCTTCGACAGCTTCGCCCAAGGAGTGCTGAGCTTATCCAACAAACAACTGGCGTTGGGCGACTCCGAACGTTGAAGACGCCACCAGTGGATCCCAAGCTGCAAATAGATGAAATTTTCAATTGGAGGTGTCTTTTGCCTCCTGTGCTGGAGCTGCAAACTTGGGACTTTCAGACTTTGAGACAAGGCACGGAAGATCGATCCCAAGATGCCCCTTTGAGACTGGGGAGGAGGCGACCATTCCAATGCTACTCATTTTTGCTTTGGATGACCACCATACAGACCATGCACCTTCCACTGAGTTCAAGTCTACACTGTCTACACATTAATATTTGGAAAAACTCGCGTGGATGACTTGGTGACACTTGCAATGACCTCCACAGGCTTCATCCACAAACTCTTGACTCTTGATCGATGCAGTATCACTTTAACTTTATTTAGAATGCAAGAATCCTGCCCCAACAAGCGGGTCAGACAAAATTATGCAATCAAATAACACTATGATTTTCCCGTTTGTATTTAACTACCAAAATAGAAACAGAAAGGCTTGTTGCCAGCGCCGAAGCTACCAATTGTTTGTGTATATTTATTGTTTCTTGTAAATATATTGCATGATCTGGAGCAAGATTGGCTTTTTGTTGTCCATGCGCACGCCTTTTCTAATGGAAACAAAACTTAAACTGATTGAAACCACATGCAAACCCAGTAGAAAGCAAAAAACAAGAAAGCACAAGAAAACAAAGAAACCCAAAAACAAACACATCCAGACTAATTAGTCTGAACATAGCTAGATCCAAGTAGTCCCCAAAACATTGTTTTGTTTGGTTGTTTTAAATTTTGTTTGTCTTGCCCTTCCGATGTTTTGATCCTTAGTCAATCTAGATTAATCCAAACCAAAGCTGATTTATTTTGCTTCTAAAGCATCCTCTGTTTATCAAATGCATATTTTACAAACCGTTAAAAAGATGCTTGTATAAACAAGGTCACGCCGCCCGCAATGAGCCCGCCGATTTTCAACCTTTTTTCTGCTGCCAAGTCTATATTTTCACAACCCTTCCAGGGTTTCGTGTCCAGAGAATTTCGTGTGGACTTGCAATTCGATTGGTATTTGCAGAACTTCGTAATCGTTTTGATGATTTTACATTGGTGGAAATGTGTTTTCTCGGTTCCCATATGTTAAAAAAAAAAATAATTATGTTTGTTGTTTTTCACTTGCAAGTCTTTGCCAAGGTGCCAAACTATTTCAATTGATCATCCCTCCCCAAATAATAAAAATTAGGGTCCATTTCTAATTTTGGAAAATTTCAGATTGATAAATTTGATTTTTAATTAATTCCCTTTAGAGAATAATTCAAAAATAAAATAATTTTGGAAATATGTTAATTAAATTATATTTTGAAAAAATAATTAAATTTGAATTAGATTTTTATGTATTAATATAATTTATTTTGAATATTAATTAATTTTAAATTGGAAAACTAGACGACGGATGGCCCGAGAGCGTAGAGGAGCAGAGTCTTCTTCTGCTGTTAGTATGGCGACACTATATTACAAGACAATATATTAAAGATGTATTACAGGCAGACGAGAAGAGTAGTATCAAGACAATATTATATGGCATCGTATCTTTTGCATCGTATCTTTCAAAAAGTTTTTCACGGACAGAACTTTTTACAGACAGACGCTTTTGCACACAGACGCTTTTACACAAAGACGCTTTTACACACAGACGCTTTTACACACACACAAACACTTTTACGCATAGAGACTTTTACACACAGAAGCTTTTACACACAGACGCTTTACACACAGACGCTTTTACACACAGAGGCTTTTACATACACACAAACACTTTTACGCACAGAGACTTTTACACACAGACGCTTTTACACACAGAAGCTTTTATACACAGACGCTTTTACACGCAGACGCTTTTACACACAAAAGTTTACACACAAACAATTTTACACACAAACACTTTTACAC